ACCACTTTGGAAATCAGTCTGGTGGTTCCTCAGAAAATTGGGCATAGCATTACCTGAGGACCCAGCTATACCACTGCTGGGCATATACCCAGAAGATGCTCTAACATATAACAAGGACATATTCTCTACTGTGTTCATAGCAGCCTTATTTATAATAACCAGAAGAACAAAGATGTCCTTCAACAAAGGAATGGATAAAAAAAAAAAGTCGTACATTTACACAATGGAGTATTACTCAGCTATTAAAAACAATGAATTCAAGAAATTCTTAGGTAAATGGATGGAACTAGAAAATATCATCCTGAGTGAGGTAACCCAATCACAAAAGAACACACATAGTATTTACTCACTGATTATTGGATATTAGCCCAGAACCTTGAAATACCCAAGATTCAACTCACAGACCACATGAATGAAGCTCATGAAGAAGGAAGACCAAGTAGGGGTACTTCAGTCCTTCTTAGAAGGAGTAACAAAATACTCAAGGGAGCAAAATATGGAGACAAAGTATGGGACAGAAACTGAAGGAGGGGCTGTCTGGAGACCATTCCACCTGGGTATCCATCCCATGTGCCGTCATCAAAGGTAGACGCTAATGTGAATGTCAGGAAGTGCATACTGACAGGAGCCTGATATAGCTGTGTCCTTAGAGGTCTGCCAGAGTTTGACATATGCAAAGGCGGATGCTCACAGCTAACCATTGAACTGATCAAGGGGTCCCCAATGGAGGAGTTAGAGTGAAGACTGTAGGAGCTGAAAGGGTTTGCTGCCCCATGAGGAGAGCAACAATACCAACCAACCAGAGCCCCCAGGGTCTAAACCACCAGCCTGGGAGCACTTAGGGAGGGATCCATTGCTCTAGCTGTATTTGTAAGAGAGGATGGCTCTGTCGGGCATAGGTGGGAAAAGAGATCCTTGGTCCCATGAAAGCTGGACGCCATGTGTGGGGGAATTCGAGGGTGGGGAGGTGGGAGTGGGGGGGTAGGTAGGGGCACATTCACAGAGAAGCAGGAGGAAGGGAGATTGGATAGGGAGTTCCTGGGTGGGCGGGGGGTGGGGGTGGGGGTGGGGGGAGGATGGGGTAAATAAAATAAAATATCCAATAAAAAATATAAAATAAAATAAAGAAAAAATAAAAACGAGAAGGAAGAGGTTTTTACAGGGACCTCCTCCACCACCCTGTATCTACCCAGAATTTCCAGATTCTTGTGCTTACAATCCTATCAAAAGGGGAGGGGCTGTGGAGCCAGTTGTAACTTGAAAATGTGAAAGGGTAGAATTAAGGTTAACTCTGAATTTCCTGCTTTTCAAGCAATTACATTCTTCCCCCTTGCTATTAAGTTACTGTCATCTTCCCTCCACATAATTGAGCATAAATTACTAGGAAAATAGGAGATAAGTTTGTAGGTACTATACAGACATAATGGGGTGAAATTAGTAAGAAGTTATAATTAGAGTTATAATTATATATTATAGTTCTTGGATTTTTAAGACTCAAATCTTGTCAATAAGTCAGTGATCCACTAATATAGTGATTTACAATGGGATCTATTGCATCATGATAAATAACTAAGGCAACATTCTGCAAAATGTTTTTTTAAAATAATAGATGAATACTACTGACCTGTTTCCTCAGTCCTGGTATTTATTAAAATAATAAAAATAATGACTTTAAGACCCTCAAGCCAAGGCTTGGTGGGTGTAAAGTACTTGATGTGCAAGCATGAGGACCCAGGTATAAAAGCAGGTATGATGGCACATCTTGTAGTCTCAGCACTAGGGAGGGGGAGACAGATTCTCGGAGACTGCTGACCAGCCAGCCTAGCCAAGTGAGAGATCCACTCAACCAAGCGGATGCTCCTGAGGAATGACACCCAAGGCTAACTCCTGGTCTCCACATGCACAAATGCACAACCCTCACCCCCACAAAAGAACCTCAAGGGGAAAATAATTCATCACATTCTAAATACAAGTACTCTTTTTCCTCAGCAGGTTTTTCTATATGTCCACTGTGGGTATAAGTATTTCTGCTTGGATGGGAGGGTATCCTGGAACTCAGAGGCCCAGGAACCATACAACTCTGACAAGGGAAGGTGTCCCAGTAGAAGGGCATCCTGAGACACAAAAGCCCAGGAACCTTACAGCTCTGCAGTGGGATGTGTCCCAAGGGAAGGGCATCGTGAGACACAGGAGCCCAGGAACCACATAGCTCTGAGAGGAGCCTCCTAATCAGAGGTGTTGCAGCTCCCAGGAGAGGGGATCCCCAGCTGCGCTAGGGAGCTCAGGAGCCTCAACCCCACTCCTTCTCTTCACTTCTTCTCTTCATTGCTTCTTTTTTTCTTTTATTGGAGGGTCCAGGGTGTGAAGGAACGAATCCAGGGGTGGCTGCCATCTGCTCCCAGGAGCGGACACCAGGGAATTGGATAAAGAGTAGGGATTATATAGGATTTCTGAGGGGGCAGAGCTTTTCAGGACAGAGATTTCCAGATTGGTGGGATTTCAAGTCCTAAATTTGGGAATATCAGGGATTGGTGGGCTTTCCTGTACAGGGGTTGGTGGCTTGTTTTGTTTTGTTTTCCTCCCTTCCCCTTGCATCAGGCCCATGGGTTAGGATGAGAAGTCCTTCCTGGCTTCAGCTGACTTTTACTGAAGCTCCATCTCTGTGGGGCAGGGGTGAGGGTAGGGCTGGAGAGGGGGTACTGTTAGTGCAGACAGTTCCTGTGGGACAGTTCTTCCAGTGGTGTTTGACTAATGCAGTAGGCTGAGACAGGAAAAGTTTTGTTACTGTGGACAGCTCTTAAGGGGCAACTCCTGCTGAGTCAGGAAAGGAGATGCCCCACCCTGGACAGATTTTTCGAGGGATGCAGTCTGAAATGTTTTTTTGATAGAACCCACCATTTTCAACAGCTCCTGTGGGACATTTTACTGCGGTGGCCTAGGCTAGGGAGGGAAAGAGGGACCTGCTGCTGTTTTGATGGCTTTTGTGGACCAGCAACTTTTGTGGTGCACCTCTCAGGGACTACAGTAGGTATATTTGTGAGATAGTAAACAATCTGGGGCTGCCACCTCCAGCCACCATTTCTCTGCATCTATTCCCAGGTTTTTGTTTGAACTCTTGGTCTCTGAGTGGTGGCAATGTTTTGGGAAGTTGTGGAAGTCTTAGGAGCCAGGGCCCTGCATATCATAGCTATTCTGGCCCCAGCCCTGCTTCCTCCTCTGTACCATGAGAACAGGCCACCACTATGGGAGCCTCTTCAGCTACTATGTCATAACAGGCCTCAGAAATTATGAGCCAGTATAAGCCTCTCCTCCATTTAGTTGTCTGTGTCAGAGGGATTTGAGTCATTGTTTCTTTTATGGAGCACCCTGTGCCTCTGGAAAGACAGCCTGCCCATGTGCTGCTGGCTTTGCTCATCACTGATGGACTCAGTGTTGTGATGGAAACGGAGCACCTTGCCATGCACACTGCTGTGCTGGCCACTCCTCCTCTGTATTCACATCTGCTGTGTTGCAAAGGTCCGGATGCACCTCCTGTCCTCCACTCTGATAGTGTGCGGTCACTTGGACTTTCACCTGAAAGACCACCTTTTAATTTTTAAATGTATTTATTTTTATGAATTTCATACATGAGTATGTACTTTAAAAACAAACGAACAAATGGATTCACAAGGCTGACCTCAATCTCTAACTGATCTTCCTGCCTCAGCCTCCTGAGTACTTAGGATTACAGGCATGTGCCACTGTACCTGCCTTCAAAGTTTATTTTCTCTTCATTAAATCTTCAAGGACAACCAGGTATTGTGTCTCACATCTATATGCAGACCAGCCATTAGGAGACTGAGTCTGGAGAATCAGCATGGGTTACACAGTGAGACATTATCTCAAAAACCAAAGTGATTGTATAAGCTTAGAAAAACAAGAAACACTTATATTCATTACTGCATTAAAAGAAATTCATGTAACATTAACATAGCAAAAGATTCTATGCTTTAAAAATAAGCAAAAGTAAAAACAAGCAGAAAACCCTCCAGATATGGATCCTATTTGTTTGATGTCCTTAAATAGCAGCAGTGTTACACTTTGTGCTTGTCTTCGTTCTCCTTTGTGTCATCTGATCCTCCTGATGAGAAGCTGACCATGGGATTTACATTTAGCAAATAAAAAGGCAGAACAACAACAGCAAAAAAAAAAAAAAAAGGATAGTTAAGTCTTATCTTCAAATGAACAATTATTTTAGTTTATCTATCCTCCCAGATTAACTGAATGTCCTATATCTGACAATACTAGTTAAGACCCAGTCAGGATTTCAGAATTAGATGAACTGAAAGGTGACCACAATAAAGATAGAAATTAAATACAAATGAACATTCCTATTTGAATTTTTAGGTCTATGATATTGTGGTTATTCTTGACAGAGGGTTTTTTTTTTAATCTTAGAGAGATTTACAAAGGCATTTAGGGATAATACGATATTTGGGATTTCTTAAAAGTTCAGAAGGCAGGAAAGATGAGCAGGGTAAGGCAGGTCACTTGGTTATTTGAACAGGGTGGTTAGTTATTCTACTTTGCTTTTTATTTGAGGTTTTCCACAATAAAAGAAAGTGGCTTACAGAGAGTTGTAAGTCATGATGTGGCATTCTGGCAGACACACCTGCGATGTCCTGTGACTGTGTGAACACAGTAGAGGAGAAGGGACCGTGAGTTCCAGACTAGGGCTGTCTTTGTTCCTCAGCCAGTCTTGGTCCTGTTGATCTTGACCTCTTTCTGGAGCTCTGCGGGTGTGTTGCAGGTTAGCTGTGAGCCTCTTGGAGTTGAGATTGCTCAGTACAGACTGAGGAAGACCACATGATCAGGGAGGGTATGAGGAAGTGAAGGGGGCAGATCTGTTATGTTATGATTGGACCCTGGGTACATTGAGCAGTTAGTTTCTGGTTGCTAACACGGTTAGGAAGTTATTTACTTGTAGATAGCTTTAATAGTTTGCTTTCTTCTTATTTCAGGATTTTCTTCAAATGCTGTTGGAGAGCATTCCAGAAAACAAAAGGTAAGTACCAGTAAAGGAATTAGGAGCCCTATTTCACTTCTAATGTTGAAATAGCCCTACCTTTGTTTGGCCCATTGTTACAACTTTGACAGTTGAGATTTCCTCTCTGCACAAAGGAACCTAGGGCAGCTCTTAGCGTCACAGCTAGACAAGAAAATAGGTTGGGATCGTGGCAGCATGTCCAGCCCAGGACCCTTAAATGTGGAATAGGAAGCCAGCCAAGGGCACTCTGAAGCTTCAGCTGCCATGGCTAAGGAGGAGAGGGCTGGGCAGAGCTCAGTAATAGAGTGCTTGCTTGTCATAAGAGGATCCAGGGCAGCTACCCTAAACCACCTACTTCTTTAAAAAATAAATAGATAAATTAAAAAACAGAGAACAAGTTGGGGTGGCTCAGGTCAGTGTAGCTTTAGGTAAGGGCATATTGGTTCACTGAGGCAGAGATGTTCAATAAGAGTCTGAGGTGGAGGCCACTTTGCTGTCTCCTGACCCAGTCTCATGTCCATTGCTATGATAAAATGCCTGACAGAATGTGACTTGGGAGAACGGATAAATTTTAGTTCACAGCTCCAGCTTATCGTCTTATCCCTGTGGTGAAATCAAGACAGCAGAGGCTTCAGCAGCTGGTGACATCACCTTCACAGTCAGAGAGAATGCTAAACGTGATACTTAGCCTTTTCTACACAGGGTCCAAAAACAGATAATGCTGCCATATGTTTTCAAACAAGGTTGTCCCCCACCAACCAAGGCAGTCAAGACAGTCTCCTATAGTCACACCCACAGGCCAACCTGATTGAAATACTCACTCATTGAGACTGTCTTCCTAAGTGATTCTAGACTGTGTTGAGTTGGTAGTTAAAAAACTAACCATCGTACCTTTTAATTTTCAGACTTCAGAGTAGGTCATTTAAACCCATGTGGACAGTATTTTAGCAAGTGTTAAAAACCTGATATCTATGTTTAAACTAGGTGCTCAGTTGATGGTTAGTGTGCCCATTAAAACATAACCACCTCCTGTGCACAACACTACACACAGATCTATGTACATCATCATCAGACCTGACTTTAATGTCCTCATAATCACTACCAGGAAGATTATTAGAAAATAGCATAGATTATGATGGCACTTGGAATGCATAACTGAGGCTAGCCTTGAACTTCTGAACCTCCTACCTCTGTCCTTTTCCTCTGCCCTCTGTCCTCTGCCTCATGTGATGCCAGGGATCAAACCCTTATGCCTGTTTGGCAAGCAACCACCCAAATGAACAGCAGCATGGTGAACAACATTCTTTTTTGTATGCGATGTTTTTTTCATATTTGACCAAAAAGACAACTGAACGAACATGACATAAGTCACCAGTCTGTACCTTGGGGCCACATAGGCAGTATGATTCCAGAGTTGGGAAGTTGAGGTTGCAGAAGTTTTTCCTTTAGTGTATGAGCCCACAGGGACTGGCTCCAGCCCGTGACTACCTCATCTCCATGATCCCTACAAACATCCTGAAAAGGAAGGACATGCTCATTGTTGGATGTGGTCATCTGCAGGGACATGGCCTCACATGGCCTTTAGAAGAAGTCCCTGTTACACATGTAGATTCCCCCACCTTGCTTCTTCTAATGCCCTATCATAACTCCTAAACATAAACACCCAAAAGCATAATTTTTAATAGCAAAACTGACATTCAGACATTAAAGGGGACTTGTTGAACAATCTAAGTGTTTCTTTGTTGAAGGACTGACATTGCTTTTCATTCTTTGACCTTTGGGCTTAGCAGTGTTTTGAATGCATGTAAACACTTCCAAGCGTGGACATGAATTCTTTGACATGGATATTGTTTTAGATTCATGCAAGACCAGTCACTTGTATGTTGATGGGCCTGTCTGATAGGCAGTCTAAATTAGACATCTCAAGGGTAACATATTATGCATGCAGGTTAGGTCCAGAGGAGGGCGCTCTGTAAAGACATGGAGGCTTTGTCTACATATCAGATTCCCCTGGGCAACTTTGTTGAAACCTCCCTATCTCCCTACCACTACCTTCCTTCAGCAGGTAGAAGCCTTGCTGTCTGTCAGTCCTGGTGTTGTGGACTTTCTTTCCACTACAGGGGCTCACACTTGTCAGCCAAGCACTCTACCCCTGGACCTAACCCTGATTATTCTGTGTGTATGTATGTACATACAGCAAGGTGTGTATGTGATCAGAAAGCAGCTTTGTGGAGTGAAGTCTCTCCGCCACATTTCATGTAAGTTCTAAGGATTGAGCTCATACTGTCGATCGAGCTTGCTTATAAAAAAACACTAAGAGAGCAGGAGCATGCAAACACGAAGCCAATTTGTGCATCATTCGGAATCAATAGACTTCTTGATTCCTGCCACTCTGTGCTCATTCACAAGCATGAACTGCAACTTCAGCAACTGAGCAAGACAACAGGCTCTCAGGAGGCTGTGCTAAGGAACTGTGTTGTGTGGATGGCCTTAAATGTTTCCTGGTTTTTGCTTATTTGTTTTGTTTTTATTTTGTTTTGGTGTGGATTTTTGTAGACATATTATGGTGATATCTTAGAGCTATCATTGCTATGATGAAGCACCATGACCAAAGCAATTTGGGAAAGGGTTTATTTGGCTTACACCTCCATGTCACTGTTCATCACTGAAGGAAATCAGGATAGGAACTCAAGCAGGGCAGGAACCTAGAGTTAGGAGCTGATTGCAGAGGCCATGGAGGAGTGCTGCTTACTGACTTGCTCCTCATAGCTTGCTCAGCCAAATTTCTAATAGAACTCAGACCCACAGGCCCAGGGGTGACACCATCTTTAATACACTGGGTCCTCTCCCATCAATCACTAACAAAGAAAATGCCTTACAGGTTTGCCTGCAGTCCGGTCTTATGGAAGCAGTTTCTCGTCAATTGAAGTTTCCCCTTCTCACATGACTCAAGCTTGTGTCACGTTGACATAGAACTAGCCAGCACAGGTGGTGATTCTTCTGCAAAACTGGTATCAGATGTGGCTATTTATCATTCAAAAGTAGACCTAAAATGTATACATATTTCCTTCCTCAATACTGGATGTTAAGCTCACAGCTTCACACATGCTAGGCATGTGCCTGACTACCATGCTATAGTGGCAGTCATTTCCTTTTCTTTTATACCTGCCCCCAGGACAATAGCTCAGGTTCTCTGATAGAGTTCAGAGGCCCTTATTTAGGACCTTGAGCATAGGAAATAGGGAAGAAGGGAGGGAGGAGAGGAAAAGAAGGGAGAAAAGGAAGAAATTTATAGATGTACCATACGGCCTCTTCTGTTGGTTATAAACTTGCATTCCAAATGCTGACTGCATTCCTTCAGGACAAAGTTCTTAGGGCAGAAACACAATGGTTTTCACTGAGGCAGCACAGTACACGTTAGTCTGAGAGGTCTGTGTCTTTTAATCTCCATGATGTGGTATGGAGCTCATTTGGATGCCCTGAGCCCTCTGGCTCCACGGGCCTGGATTTTATTGTTGTGGATATTTACTGAGGCAACACACTGGGCCCACAAAGAAACTTTTGTTGTAGTTGTGGAGATTAGAGCAGCATCCATGGCCTGTATGACTGCCAACCACCCACTGCATCCCTTTGACGGGGCGGGGTGCCTTTCCCAGTGGGATCATGCTTTGCTTAGCAGGCTTAAGTCTCATTAAGAATTCTCCTTAAATGTTAAAGTGGTCTCTTGTCTACAAAAAAACCTACTTCACCAAGTGTATTGGAGTACATTTTTAAACTTAAACATCTTCTTGCCTGCTAACTAATCTCAAAATCTAGTTTGCCTGTTCAAACAGATGGCTTGCTCTATTACCTATGCAGCATATTGTACTAATTTTATGTGGGCCTCCAAAGACTGCACATCTACCCCCTGGAGCCTCTAATCTTTGGCCCTAGTTGCAAACTGATCCTTTGGTACATCTGTTAGGCACTTGAGCTGTGCTGAGCCGGCAAGGCTTTGCTAGTCACACTGAGTGGTCAGTGTCAAGCTCCTCTGCACCTTTGTCGTGCCTCAGCTTACTAACATTCTCTGTGGAGCGTCTCCTGTAACAAGATTGTGGGAGAAGGGGAGAGAATAAATCCAATGATAGCCTTCAAAGAGATCCTAACCAACTACCAAAATCACTGGCTATTCTAGTCACCCACACAGGACATTAGAATCAGCATATGCAGGGCACTGTGAGGTCTGGGTCCTGGGCGGACAGACAGCAGCCCTGACTTCACACAGGACATTAGAATCAGCATATGCAGGGTGCTGTGAGGTCTGGGTCCTGGGCGGACAGACAGCAGCCCTGACTTTGAAATGAGACCTAAAGGCAGAACCTAGGACGTAGGGAGTCGGGAGGGAAGGGGAATGGGAGGGCTTGAAGCTGGGAGATCCATGAGAGAACACTAGTGCATTTGAGTCAAGAGATCTTGAGAACTGGAATTATTTCAGTGATGGGTACATTGGCAGTGGGCTTTGAAGCAAAGAACAGAGTCATAGGTTGCTTGAGAGGTGCCACAGTTACAAATGGGTGAGTTGTTGTCATGTTGAATATAGGAATCAGGTGTGAGACTGACTTTTCTTTCTTTGCCCCTTTCTTTGCATTCTAAAGTGTAGTGGGTAACTGCTTGTCCCAGGAATCAGTATTGAGGGGGAAGAAGATAGTGCTCAGGAGGCCGTCTAGAAGGACCCATGCACCGTCCTCCCCCTGCCAAAACCTATGCTCCCCTGGAGAATAGCTGGTCCAGCAACCTCAGCCCCCAGATTCTGGTGTCAGCCACAGCTACTGATTAATCTTGCCCATCAATTACAGTGCTTGTGTGTGCATGTTCATCTGTTTGTTTACCCCCCTTGCTCTGCCTCCCCCACAGAGCAGGGAGCACTCACTTGCCCCGACTCATAAGCAATCTTCATTATCTACTGAGCACAAATGCTTGGTTTTGATCAAGAAAATGAGCAACACCATGGAAAGCTCTGAGACACAGTTTGCTTTCAC